CCCCCCCCCCCCCCTCTCTCTCTCTCTCTCTCTCTCTCTCTCTCTCTCTCTCTCTCTCTCTCTCTCTCAATCTCCCTCTCTCCCTTTCTCCCATGTCCTCCTCCTCTGCTCGCTCCTTTCTTGAACTCATTCAGACCTGAGCGCTCCTAAGAAATGCCGAGCGCGCTTTGGCCTTGATCAACAGAATAACTGGTGCGGCCCTTGCAGGTGTGTATAGTTTCCCAGATTCGCTGTGCTGGTTTGCAGCTGGTCTCTTCCATTCTTCCCCCTTCTCTGGCCTGTTGCTTCGTAGCTCTGTGTGTGGATCGTAGGAGACTCGAGGGAGCGGGGCACTGCCAAGTGTGTGGGCTCGATGAGGGATGTGCTTGTTTTCCGCTGCTGCTAGCCAAAATGCCACTGTAAAACAGCATCACGATGCAGACCCCACGCGCCCTCTCCCAGGGAATGTTGCCTGCCAACCCCCTCCTGTGACAGCCTGGGACCCTTACCCTGGCCTAGGTAGAAGCAAATGATGTCACTTTCTCCCCTCCTCTTCTCTCTCTTTTAATTTATTTTTCATTGTTGTTTTTTGGTTTCTGGTTGTTTTTTTTTTTTTCTCTGTATGTGTGTGTGTGCGTGTGTGTGTGTGTGTGTTTCATCATTTTATTTGATTTATTTTCCATTTGACTCATAGAAGTCCTTTCCTTTCATGCCCTTGGTGAGGGACGAGTACCTGGTAGAGCCAAGGTGACGTAGAAGACAAGTAAGCTGTAGCTGAGATTTCACATCAAACCGAGCACGACCCACCATTGTGTTGTGTTTTTTGTGTTTACCTTATGCTAACAGATGCAAATACTCCAAAGAAGTGTCGGGCACTGTTCGGGCTTGACCGACAGACTTTATGGTGCAAACCATGCAGGTATATAACCACTGCGAGGCCTTTGGGAAACCAAAGTGTTCTGTCCTTCTGGTATCTTAGTGTGACAATTTATTTTGACCTCCTTCCCGTCTATTTCTCCCACTAGCATCAATGACTAATGAGCCTCATTCTTTGAATTTTTCTTGCTGATTTCACACTGTTTCCTCTCCCCACTTTCTCATTCTCTCTTTGCTCCCCACCCCTGCTCTAACAAATGACACTCAGTATATATCCCCGGTGGACAGACTGAGACCACAGCCTTAACATGGGCACCGTCGCTTTCCCTTTGAAAGCCAGCGTCCTGGACTGGCCCCCGCTGATGCGTGCCTTGGTGGCCTGTGGACTGAGCATAGAGAGCCCCCATCCCTGAGTTCAGACTTGGCAGCAATAGCATTCCCATGCACTTGGAGAAGTGCGCTGGGGCAGGCTCCTCCCTCTCACCCCTTTTACTCTGTTTTGCCTCTTTGGTTGTTTTATGTTTGCAAACCTCATCTGTCTGTACAGAGGAGCTCGGTCAGCTGACATTGTTTTACAGAAGTGTGGCATTGAGTGGCGTGCACCAGCTAAAGGGCTGCAGAGAGTGGGAACTGCAGTAGAACATATATGTAAATTTGCACATACATAGCAGTGAACCAGATCTGTGCCAGAGTCCCAGTGAAGTTCTCCCCTAGCCTGCACCCTCAGGGAAAGTGTAGGAACTTTCTTCTCGGTGGAGGGATGCCTGCTAGATCCTGTCTGGTTTCCTTTCCTTTAATGACCACCTTCAGTTAAATTTGTTGTTTCTTTGTTCTGATACAAGCAGTCTTTGAATTTGGAATATTATGATGGTAGGTATCTCGACACCCCACACACGCGTCCCTGTTTGTAGTGCCTCCCTTGTCACGTGTCCCTCTCCTCCATGCCTTTGCCGTGTGCTCCGTGTCTAGACGTTAGATCAGATGTTCATCCCATTACGTGCATGCCCACGAGTCTGCTGTGTCTCCGATCCTCTCCTGGTGCCAGTGTGAGAGCCCGGTGAAGCGTGCCTCGTGTAGCAGAGAGAGGGCCCAAGGGTCGCCACAGACAGGGACACACGCGCCTTTAGGTGGCCACTCAGGGAGAGGGATTCTCCAGTCCTCGTGTGGGATGGCAGCATTCACAGAGGTGCGAATGCCTTTCGGCACAGTCCTGGGGTCCTCCCTGGTCCACAGAAAGGGTTAGATGCCAAAATTGGGAATATAGCAAGGACGAGCAGGGAAAACAAGGCCTGTGCTTACTCTGTGGAGGGCAGGGAAGCTGTGGGCATTTTGTTCCTGCCTACGGAAAGGTCTCCGACCAGCCACAGGGACCACCCCAAAGGGAAGTTCCTCATGATCGCTAGATACAGACAGCCAGCGTCACTGGCTACGCCCCACAGTAGGGCTGCTTCAGGTGCCCACTTTATTTTAGCCATGGGGTTGGCTGGTGGTTTGTGAATCACTTTTTTGTTTCAGAAGCTGTTGCAGTGTGTTACACTTGGCTGTTTGGTTGTTGTTTTTTTATTTATTTATTTTTTTTAGCTTCCTAGAAGTAATTACTGACATTGATCTGGGCAGACACCCCTTCCTCAGACCTACCCACCACCTTGCTTAAAGCCTGGGGTGGGGTGGGGTCTTCCTCAGAGACCAGAATTTTCTTGGTATTTTTACAGAAAAAAAAATTCTGCCAGGTGCAAACCTGTGGAGCTACTTTGTGTGTTTGCAGCATGGTTTTCTGCAGTGCAGCTCTGAGGGCCTCACGTCCCTTCTGTTGTCGTGGAGGCCCACAGGCCCCTCGTCTTAGGACCCTCATCATTCCCAGCCTCCTTCCCCCCCCCCCCCCGCAGTCCCTTTTCTTCTGTTGGGGACAGTTTTTTCATACTGTGATGTATTGGCAAATTCATTCTGCTGCCTTTTTGTAGGCATCATTCCAGCACAGGTCAGGAGGAAGGCTTAGTTTTCTTTCGGAATAAATAAATGAGATGGAGTCCCTGGCCCCAACCTGAGACTAGATAGGGTAGCTAGGAGTGTGAGTTTTGAACAAGTGGTTACCTGTCTCCTTCCCCCCAACTCTTCCTTTCAACTTCGCCGCAACCACATCTGGCTTGATGCTAAAATCCATAGGACAAAATCAGCTTAAAGATAAAAACAGAAGAGAAAGAACATTTGTAAAAAGCAGTCGCAAACCGAGGCATTTCCTGACTCATCAGAAACGTGTATGTGTTCCAGCTGCCCTTTGCTCGGCCCTGCTGGGGGAGCATCACTCTGTCATCATAGTCTTTGTGTCCTGTGTTCAAAATGCCCCCCATCCCCATGATTTGGAAACATCCACACCATGAGGAGGGTGGGAGGGGTGTGGAAAGCCCCAGAAATGCTCCCCGCCAAGCAGGGCTCCTAGCTTGCCACACAGGGCTTCTAATTCTGTTCGGCATTTGAGGACATTGTAACCAGACTGTTTTGAGCCCACCAAGTTGCTTTCCCGTCTTTTCACTCTGCCTTAACAGAGCCCGGAATGCTGCTTGATGCCGCTCCCCTGTCTTCCTGTTGTCCCTCCCTCTCCCTTGCCCTCTCCTCTCCTTTCCTCTCTCTCATTTTCCCTTTTGCTTTCTCAGTTTTGCTTATGCCCTCTCCCACCTCCTCTTCCTTTCAGTACTCCGTTTTTAAAATGCATGGACATCTTAGTTTTGAGCATGTTTTGATCTGCAGGCTAAGGTGGTTTAAAACTGAGAGGCTCAATTACTGTATTAACTTTGGTTCCTGAGACAGGCACAGAACCCATAGTCTATGCCAGTCTGTCCAGGGGAGTAGAAGGAACTTTGCCATGTGAGAGGGTGACAGGGGCTTGCCCTTCCTCACCCTGAGTTCTTCTGACCCACAGGGGACAGGAGGACCTGAGGCCACCAGCCCCAGTGGGCCTCAGCCTCTGGGAGGCAGGAGGACTGAGCATGTTCCCTTCCATCCTCCCCCACTTCCCTCTCCTGCCGTTTGCGGAGTCCATGTCCGTGCTCAGATGGGTACGCCAGCTCGCTCTGGGGCTCAGACCAGAGGAGGAACTCAGTCCGCCCCTCCCACAGCGCTCAGCGATGCCGCCGGCCCCGGCAGCCTTCATGCGGGCAGCTGGCCCGTCCATGTTCGCTCACACTGGCTCACAGGCGTGTTCCCCGCCACGGTTGTGGCTACACCTCAGGGTCCTTGGATTGAGCACATGCCTGAGTCTGCGTGGTTTCTATAGCATTGGTGGGTCGATCTCAGGATCACCCCTCCTACCAAGTAGGATCCCATTCGGCTGGGAGTAAGGTGGGAGGGAGAGGCTTTGAAGTCACACACCCAAGTTCTTGAGTTGATTTTCCCAACCTCATCCTTGGATGATAAGGAGGACAGGCTCTGACATTCGCATTCCTATTTCTTACACGAACAGGTAGTGGAGAGGGGCAATTCTGGTTTTGGTGCAAGGCTGAGTTAGTCTTTCTGGTTCAAACACTCCTCCGAGGAGCCTGCCCAGGAAGGCCCTCCTGCAGTTCCCTGGCACTTCTTGGTCCTCACTCGCTGCGCCCTCTACTTGCTGGGACAAGAGCAAGACGCCCGTCCATCCCATCCTCACCATTTCTCCTTCCAACCTTCTCACTAGGGGTGGGGGAAGGGAGGCCCCAACTCTTTAAAAAAAAAAGAAATCAAAAAGCTTAAAAAATCAAGTTTGAATTCTACTTCAATCCACAACCTGCAGGCCATACAACCAGTTATTCTTGTTCCTTTGGATCATTTTCTGTTTTTTCTTATTCTTCCCCCTCCCCCACCTTTGTTTATCCTCTTCTACCTGTTTTTGGTGGTTTTTTGGTTTTTCTTTTGTTTCGTTTTCTTTTGTTGGTTTCGTTCTTTTTGGTTTATTTGGATTTATTTTTGTTCCCCGCCTCCCCTCTCACCTGATTCTGACCTCTCTCGATTTGGTGTGGTTCTTAACAGACAAGCCCGCGAGCTCTCTAGGCCCCAGCAGCCTCCCGGTGGTGGTGTGTTAAAACCTTTAAGCCTCGCGCTAGTGCTGCCTTCAGCTATGTGGGCTCGACAGTCAGCGTTTTGAGAGTTTCATATTGATAAGAGGCAGCTGGGGAAGGAGCTCTGTCTTTCTCTTTTAAATGCACACACCGCACATGCACACACATCGTGGGGG